GGAGGAGGTGGAGGTGGAGGAGGTGAAAGCCGAGGAGGAGGAGGAGGAGGAGGTGGAGGCTCACCTTCAGCGACGAGTAGAGGACGAGCAGCACCCGACGATGGCTCCAGCGGCGGCGGCTATGCCTGCAGCAACGGAACAACGGGGCAGCGGACAGCGAGAAGCAGGGCAACGGGGCAGCGAGCAGCAGGGCAACAAGCACTGGGGCAGCGGCGCAGAGCGATTTCGAATTCAAAATTGGCCCGATCTGAGCCGTCGATCTTGGTGGACCGACGACCCAGATCGGGCTTTTTTTTTCTTCAAAATCTGTGGGTCCCTCTCGGGATCCGCCACAACGAGGTGCTGCCAGGGGTTGATCAAAACCCCTTGGTGGCGTTGGTGCCCCTAAACCCTAGGAAGAAGCCCTGCACCTATTTTGCGCAGGGCTCATAATGTTTATTTCCGGGTTCTTCCGGGGGTATTTTTCCGGCCAGATATTCCGGATGGTCCAGGGCCATCCGGATATCCGGAAAAATAACTTAGGTTTTATCCCTCTGATTTTATCAAAACATGATTGTATTGGTGTGAGTTCGTAGTATGGAATTTGACGTACCCTTTCGAGTAACAAATCGTGAGTGTTTGAGAGATTGTGAATATCTAAAATATTGGGAAAACAAATACTTCTCTCGCCACCCGCGATCGAGACTCCCCGACTTCCCGCATCAGACGGGAGAAAAACGCTTATGCAAGTGGGATATTCATCAGGCTTTAGGCCGCAGTCCCCAACCCACGCAATATCCCAACACCTATAAACTTCAGATATTCACTAAGTCGGGATTCGTCGCCATTGAAACTGAATTTCCTCCTCACTATCTTATCCTCCCCTACAACAATTTCACTGTTATTCCCTGGTCTGCATTAGCCCCCTACTGGCCAAGTACGTCGTGCTGTAACTGCAGACGCGACTAGAACGCCTACTGAACGTCGGGTTTTATCCGGCAAACTCGCACCGAGGCTGAGTGTCGGGAACACGGCCTTCGGCTGAGACTGCCCACGTCAGATTCAGAAATCTTAGAGTCCCGTAGGCGCCACGTGTTGCAACAGCGAGATACCCACCGTGTCACTCATGTGCACCGTATACGAACCCGTCGTAGGCGAAGACGCCGATCGACCTGAGTACCCGGCCTTGAGAACCTCGAGCTGAGAAGAGCCCCCTCCAATCTGAACCCTTTGCATTTTTGTCCTTGGAAACTTGGCATTGGAGATCCCAGGTCCGACCTGGGACTCCACCCCACTTTCCGAAAATCCTTCGCACACCCCTTTTAGCGCCACTTTCGGGCCCGCTCCTACTCCGATCAAGAAGTCGCGCTGGGCGTGACGTTGGGCGTCACAATATCACCAGCCATTGTGGTCCAATAAGTCGAGCCTCCGTTAACCACTGTGTTGGAACAAAATAGTTGGGAAAGGGACCCATGGTTTAAGGGGGGAGGAATCCATTCCAATGTTTAAACTAGTACCAAACTGGACTCACTGAAGGGAGTAGATTAACCCCCAAGGGAGAAGATTTCCCCCAAAGAGTAGCCAGCCAGCCAAGTTTAGTAACACATACGGGCTCTGTCTGCTTTCCACCCAAAAGCCAGTCATGCCAGCATGTTCTCCATGGTGGGATCAATTAAACCAACAGTTCGGTCTTCACCCAAAAGCCTTTGATTGTGCAGACATGTTCTTCTTGTTGGAAGCAATGAAACCACCAATCACCCTGACACTTCCAAATTCGGGGGACCGGTAGTGCCAGGAATCAGAATTTCTTTGGGCCTACCCATACCAGCGGGAAGCAAAAAGATGCCGAAAAACATGACAAATGTGTATGATTGTCCTCTCAACACCAGTTCCTTGCTCAGCTATCAAGTCCGAGCCTCCCGCTACCGGTAAGCCGAGCCTTGTCGAGCCTAGGGCTATCGGTAGCGGGTTTTGCTTCATTTTTCAAAAACGAAAAAGAAAAAAAAAAAAGAAAAAAAAAAAAAACGAACGAGCTTTTGAAA